GGTTTATTTTTTTACATGTTGACTGGTATTAATGTAGGCCATAGGTATGTTTTATTTGTGTGTCTTTTCATGTGATAAATGAACTAAAACATAAAAAAAGAACCTAGCTGCCAGCTGCCTGTGTTTTTCTAGGCCAAGAGCGCATGAAAATGTAACACAGCAGGTGACACAGGCTCCTGAAATACACTGAAGATGTGAGGGGAAAATCCACAGTGGATTACATGGTGTAATGTTTTTGCTGTGCCTGAAAAAAAAAAGGAAAAGGAAGGAAGTGCAATAGTTCAAATCCTGGTTTGTTTTCTTTTACTTTCCTCAATATTCTGATTAAATGTCATTGAACGTGTCCTCATTCTCAAACCATAATTTAGAATTTTTTTTCAAGTGTTACTCAGTGCTGCCCATATCTGCTGACCTGTCGAAGATGTCAGCAAAACAATCCTTGTTATCAGGGTAACAACCTATAAAAAGTGACACTAGGAAGGCAGTGTTTTCAATAATGATATTCGAAGTCTTTATAGTCTTCAGTCTGGTGTATATACAGTATATATATCCTTTAAACTTCATATGCAAACCCATTAAGAAATGTTATGAATTCTCTGCATTCACATGAGGCGTTGGTCAATTTCTATGGACTCTAACCCCATACGAAACACACATGCTATCTACAAACTGAGACGGAAGCACAGCAGAGGGAAACATATTTGAGATGATATCACAATATTTTCCAGAACTTTGCCCTCTGAACAACAAAGAAATTAGTCTTCAGTTTTCATCTGTCCTTTGAATGTATAAGCATTTTCTCCTAAAGATCACCTTTAAGGATGTAAAATGAATATAGTCAGTGAATATAGTTATATGACAGGGTGTCAAATTCGTTGGGGTTCAGGGGCCACATACAACCTGATTAGATGTCATGTAGGCCAGACCAGTATAATCATAAGATAATTACCTATAAATAACGTCTGTCTTTGTTTTCATGCAAAATATTACATGAGATAAATTGTGTGTAATGAAATATAAACATTTCTTGAACATGAAGTATTTGTGTATTTTTATCTTCAAAATTCATCAAGCGGGCTGGTTTTGGCCCATGTACCGTAGGTTTGACACCCCCGCTCATTCATGTATACCGGAATGAACTATCTGATTGTCTTTTGATTCATGTCTCTCTTGTGCACTGAATGTCAGGTTAGAACAATCACCTTAAAGAATAATATTATTTTTTCTTCTCACTCGGCTTTGTTTCATATTTGTATGGCAGTCAGTCAACACTAGTCTTCTCTTCCAACAAAAAATGAATGAAGGAAGTTTCAAATCACATAAAATTAGGACTTTTTGAAAGAAGTGTTAAATGAGAGTGCTGCAGAAGCTTTTTGAAATCAACTGAAGGAAAGTGAATGCCACACAGTGGTCGCAATGAAAATGTGGGGGAGGAAAGAAAAGCTAAATTTGCAATGCATCACATGAGTCAGGAGGGTGCAATCCATATACTGTGTGGAGTTCAGCAGCTTTTACATTCGAAGGAGGAATAATCATGGCAGGCATGGAATAACTCTGCTGAGAGGCGTAGGGGAGTGGCTGGGGGTCGTATTGATGAGGAAGTCCGAGAAAGATGCGCATGGTTGCAGGAATGTGGTCCTGAGGGACTGCATCGTCTACAGCAATGATAGGGATCTCAGAAGGCAGATTAGAGTTTCTGCTCCATAATCAATTTTCTGTCTGCTTTCAATCGCCCATAAGCCTAAAGATCCACTTCTTACACCGTTCAGCGTAATCACCATATATTTGCTTAATTCTTCTTTCTAAAAGCTTGCTTAAATGTCCTCACCCTGAATCAATGTTTACTAAGCCTTTAAATAGCTGTAAGTTAAACCAAATCATCGTATGCATGGAAACAGTGACATAACCTAATACTTGTAGTATTTCTTTAAAATGTATGAGTTTTTTTCTTTTTGCTACAGTGGATTCTGTTTCAAATATGTCAAAATTGAACTAGTGGATTATGTGTATGAGAGACATGGAAAGCGAGAGAAAGAGGGAGAGGGAGGGAGAGAGAGTGTGAGTGTAGCTTAACCTTGGCCAAGGACAAACTATTAGCTCCACCTCACCCTAGGGTCCACACTTGCTACCATCTGCTCAAGAGCTCTGCAGTCACAATACTGCCTGACCAACTATTGATGTCTTTCATGTTGAGAACTGGCTGTGGATCACATCTTTTTTTTTTTGCCTATTTAGCTAATGCAATCCAAAGCAGATGTGCCAAAACTTTTTTCATTTTTGCCAAATGATTGGTTTTATGTAGGACAATATTTTAATGGACAAGTTGCCAAGGTTCATTTGAAAAACATGATGTAAATAATGTTGATGTAATAACCTGTAATGTACACTGCAGGCCATATGTTTGGAAGAAAGATCAAAATTGTAAATATATATATATATATATNCTTTTTTACTTAATCTTAACTAATAGTTATTTGAACTTTTATTGATCTTTGAGGAGCAGAGACAGCAGGTGGTGCTAGGTACATTCTTGCTGTGGCTGAAAGCGGCTGAGAGCGTTTGGTGTCAACAGATCAATACCTGGGAGATGACTCAAAGGACGATTCATTCCAGACTGTCTGACACCGACTCAGATAAAGGTGAGGGATGCAGCAAAGAATGCCACAAAAAAAAAAAAAAAAAAACTACAACAGCAGCTGAAAGTATAACGCCTACATCTGTCTCGACCCGTTTCTCACTTTTGCTTACACATACCTGCAGGCGGAAGGACACGAAAAATGTACATCCAGAGAAGGTGACGCCGAGTATAGACGCATCAGTTAATACCAGTCCACACAAACACTGGCAGCTTGCATACACTCACAATCACAGATATACCCTGTCAACAACTGCCCACAGCCCTCTACCTGGATCAGCCATAAAGTCACCTCCACCGGTTCCAGCAGGCACACACTAATTGCCTTGCTGAGTCACTAACGTGACATGCATTTGATTGGCATCATTACAAGGCAGTGGATGGTTAATGCCAGGTATTTGACACTTTGTCTGCGGTGAATTCTTTAATTATCTGCAGGTGAACAGTGGAAGGATAAAAACTTAAACCTAATCCGAATTCTTTTTTTAATGTTTTGCAGACAGTGTGCTGCGACTGAGATGAATTCAGGGTTGAGATAAAAACCTATGCCACATTATACCATTGTCATCAGTACCTTTTCAAATGCTGACGTTTTCCTAGTCATTCATTAAAACCATTAGTTTCCAAACATTAATAAAAAAAGGCAAAATCTTTTTTCTTTTTTTTTTTATCACTGTCTGACATTTAAAAAACAAAACATTCCCTGGCTCATGTCGGATAGGATTAGCAAAATTATTTGTATAACCTAAAAGGAAGACTTTTTTATTACTTTCTTAAAGTTACACACTCCCTTAGTATTTATTGACGTAGCCTTTAAGCAGTTTGACTTAGATCAAACGCTACCATAACTTTCTGAAAAGTGTTATTCCGTACTATTCATCCTGACAGCACTGGTGTAACTGAGTCAGGTTTCTAGGCCGGCTGGCTCAAACCCACCCTTTTAGACCGGCCCACAAATTTTTGGCTTGGATTAGGGCTTATCGATGGCCACTGCAAAACACTGACTTTGTTGGCCTTAATCCACGTTGTTTACTGTTTTGGCAGTATGCTTAATATCACTGTCTATTTATGTCCTAGCTATAACTTCCTGGCTAAGGTCTTAAGATGTTGCTTCTACATTACCAGACAAAGTAGTTTCCTCAGGACACCAGTGGCTTCTGCAGAAAAACACCTCTACAACAAGATGGTGTCAAAATTCGGTGCTTTTCATTTTTCTCCCAAATGTGACGGATGGTGGTGGATGTCTGCAAAAATCAATATCTCTGTGCCTGTGTGTTTTCCCACAACTGTAATCTGCCTTTTTTGCTATTGCTAGTGTTGGCATCTTCTTCGGCAGGGAGCCTTTTAGACCACTTCTGTAAACAGGTAATTTCCCTGTGGATAATGTCCAGTATCTTTGCTGGGACTTCTGCTTTTGTCCTGCGGTTGATATGAACAAGAGTTGTCTCTCCAAAATAACTAAACTATTAAGTTAATTAACTATTAATTAACCACTCTAACCACTTTAACTTTATCAACATTTAAAAGGGCTGTATAAATAAAAAATCTTTACTATTTGCACCTATTTTTCCATGTGGTTTTACTGGGTTGTTAGAAACTTTTACTGTTTTAAAGAAGTAACTAAAAATGCAAATTATTTTAAAAAGTGTCAGTCTTACCTTGCTCTGGCGTCAATGTCATGCTATAAAGAAGAAGAAACAAAAGAAGGAGGGAGAGGGAGGGAGAGAGAGAGAGAGAGAATTACATAAATTACAAATTGTTTCACAGGTGGTGTGAATAACACATAAAAATGTAAATCACATCTTCTGCATCATCTTGGTCTGCAGCTGGTTGCTCTAAATCTCACCAATTAATTTCCAAATTTCAGCCCAAGTTTTGCTCATGTATATTGATGAGCCCTTAAAGAAGCAGACATTGTTCTTGAGATGTTTATTTTCTTCTTCTTTCGACTCAACGGGAAATCATTTTTCCATCGTCAAAATAATGTGATTATGTGACTATCAGTATGTGACACAAAGGTGAGTTGAATGCTAATGATCATACTTTAAATTTAATTTTAACTAAATACATAGAGGAGACAACGGCGTCAATCTACAAGGTCCTTGCTCCCTCTGAGTTGTCATCCTGCCACTTGGACTGGATGACAGACACGTCTCCTACAGAAACACATTCACAGGTCACAGACTGATGATGCAGCATCAGGAGGATAAGGAGTTCTCTGCTCTGCCCAAGGACACCTTAAAAGACTGTGCAGCAGCTGGGGACTGAAACAGGGGAGAACCAGATACAAAATGGTTTCATTTTGTGGTTTTACATCTCATTTACGCAGATGTTTCAATGTTTAAAGACGCTGTAATATAACAGTGACAGACACACAATGTCAAATGCCCTCCCTGAACTGCTTTCAATCCCAACACTGCCTTTATTAACTCAATATTCATACTGGACCATAATAACCAGACTGACAAGATTTTCCATGCAGTTTAACTTGTCTGTTGAAATCTGAGGTTTCAGGACAGATCATCACAGCAGAGTTGACCAGAGGGGCATATCGACTGTCTGCCTTTAAATCCAATTAGTCTCACATTTCAACAAATATGTGGTTTCAAATATTGAATTGCAGTCAGATTTTTTTTTTTTTTTTTTTTTTGTATTTTTAAATATGTCTGCAGACCGAAAAATCAACTTGGGAAATCAGAGTGCAAACCACAGAAATCAATAAATGGTTTGTAAAATCACACATTATCTGGTTGTTTTACAACTGGTTGGATACAGGAAGGACGTCTGAGGACTACAGTCAAACATTTGTATTTTAATTTCAAGTACTCCTTGTGTTGGATAAATACTCACAGGACTATTTAATATTTAATAACCGATCAAACTGACAAGGTCAAGCATCACATGTCTATTTATAAAAGACATAAAACTCTTACAATTAAAAGAGATCAAGTTCTCACTATTCTCACAATGTAATCTAAACAACACTTAGAGAAAAAAAGAAAACTCTGGATTTTCTAAACTATATTTTATATTTTAAATAAATTATTGAGAGCCTTATGCATTAACAATAAACATATGTAGCCAGAATACACAGAAAGCACAAAAAATAATGATGATTTCTGTTTTTGAAAGACTCTACATGAATAATTAATAAACAAAGATGGTTTTCCTTAGTATTGAGTCTGAATGTTGTTAGACATAGAACAATAAGAGAAGGGGGAGAAGGTTACATATTTCGTGTGAAAACAATTAAAAAATTAGGGTTGTCAACAATGAAAATGTAACTAGATTAATCACAGGGCAGCGATTAATTCTTAAATAAGATCAAAACAATGGCGCATAATACTGGAACAAAAGGAAAAAAATCAGCAGGTAGACGTGTGTTTTACACTTCTTTTATAGGTGACTAATGGTGGAATTATTAATGAGGGGAAATGTCAAAAAACAACAACTGATTTAGCTTCATAGAGTGGGTGGATTTTAGTCAGTACTGATGCAAGCTGTTCTTCTGCACCACATTTGAAGCCTCCACAAACAACTGCTGTGGGTTGAGATGATATTTTAAATTCCACGTGCTTAATGAAAGAAAAAGTATTTTAGGCAGTGTACACAAATAACAACGTGTTTATCATCTGTGTATTAGAGCAGCAATAAGACGAAGGTAGTTGGAATTATCTGTTTGGGTATATTCTTATTAACGCTGGTCGGTTCTTTATTCCAGGAAGTGAGTGTTAACTAGACTTTGAGCATTTTGTTTTAATGCTGAACTGAACTTGAAGTAACTTGGTAACTTCTCACTTGTAGTTTAAGTCAGATTTACAACTACTGTTGTGTTACTGGAGTTCAGTGATCACAGACTACACTCCAAACAAGTTCTTGGTTGAATGACTTGCTATAAAGAAACCTAGGTCTGTAACAGATTCCAAATATTTGGGACTGAGGAAAAGTAAGACTGAAAAACTGCAGAAGAAATCTAGGGAAACTCTTCTAAAATGTAGGCAGGTTAGAGAATCACACGGGGTGCAAAAGAAACATCCACCAACAATACATAACGCAATGTGACACAGGGGATTAGCATATTTATGAAGGAACACTTGAAAACGATAATGCTTGTACTGTATTTCAGTGAGACGTAGATTACTGTTGGGACGGCTTCTTTATCCAAGAACTCCAGAGACCTTTTTTTTGGGAAAGCTACAGCAGGCCTCATTTAGTTGGCACATATTACAAAAACACAGCTAGGCAGAATCAGCGTGCAGAAGCGTGACTGGCCTGCCTTCAGTAGAGATACGACTCCTATTATCAAGATTTGACACATCATGATGAGAGGAAATGGACTGTGATCACTGACCAATGAAATGACTTTCAGGTAACAGGTTTTATGGAAGAAAACAGTCTTTTTTTTGGACAGTTGCTTAACAAAAATGTCTCTTTGTGTCTCTCCTTTCATTTTTTATTGTACTATTTGACATTTTACTTTAGAATAAAAGAGATGAGGTGGTAAACAGTAAGAAAATATTGATTGTTTCAGACCATCAGTGTCACAGTCATAAAATAACCTTCACAATTAAAATGAACTGAAGTTAAGAGCCAAAGTAAAGGACTGCAGTTTAATTTGCTAATTGTTGAAACTGACGCCGTAAGATAGAGAGCGACAATGTGAGTTATTGTCTGAGATAGCTTTTCTCTAGGTGTGGGTGGATCCACATGTCTAAAGTACTGTACATAAGACATAGCTCTATAGATTCTTCTTAATTAAGTGGTATGGACGAAACTGCCTTAACACGTTGGTCAACAACATCTGTCAGCCTCACATTTCACTTCAGTTGTAATAATAAGCCTGCCAAGAGTCTGTACTCATTTCTATCATCTTGTATTTTCTTAATAACTGGCTGTTGTCCACAAGTGTGGGAATCAGCTGAACTGCTCACATTTTAGTGCGAATTGAACTGTAAAATATTGGTGCATGGTTGGAACAAAAAGTAAACTTTTTCTCTAAAACTGATTTCCATCTGATGAATGCATGAGTAGCACACCATGCCCTTGAAATACACACACTAACAAGTGTACACTTGTTTGATACATGATTTGCTGCCTGAGCCCCTTCTCATTTGCACATTTCTCCCCTAACCATACATCTCCAAATAACATTTTATAGCTTGATATGGCAATATACCATAGTACTCAGACCAGTAATAACTGTTATGAAAAACAAACAGGCTAAACACTGGCATTCAATTAGGCATATAATAAAGCTTGCCCACAAAGGATTAATTTCTCAGCCTGAAAAAGCAAAGGGCACATCAGCTTCTTCACGATGAACAGCAGTGCCAAAGAACCAGACGTTTTTTTTTTTCATGGCGCGGAATAAAATATGGCAAATGACAAACAGACACAGTGGGATATTTTAATTTGGAGCTGATGTGCAGTTAAAGCCTCCCTCCCATCTGTGTGCAAATGGTAGGAGAGAAGACTACGGATTGAGTAGATTGAGATGATTTGCACTTGTGCCTGTGCTTAAGCACAGTATATGCAAAAATGAAGACTGTAAACTGTTACTGCTCATATGGTCTGGTGCGAAGAGTGCCTTGGAAATGAGGATATAACTTTGACTAATGGGTGAGTTAATAAAAAGGACAAGATGTAATAGGCCCAGCTGCTGCTTCCTAATAACCAGCACACTAACCTTAGACAGATTCACACAGTTTGTGTGATATAACATGTAGTTCCATCTTTCTCTGTTTTGTAATGTGCAGACTAATGCACTGACTTCACTTGCTTCATGAGCTACTAGATTTACTTCAGATAGTGGTGGGTTTTTTATTTAGGCTAGTTCAAATAAATGAACTCCAATGAAGGGAGCCTTCTGACAACACAACACAGCACTCAAAGAACCTCAAGCCATGCAGCACTATGACAATTGTATATAGATTGTATATAGATAGATAGATAGATAGTAGTAGTAGATAGAAGTAATTGCACATATATGTATTTTTAATAATAATAAAAAATATATAAACTAATAATAATTAATATTATCATTATTAATATTATTATTTTAGCAAGTGCAGAACTACAGCTATAGCAACAGGACTTCTGCATAAAAAAGCAGAAAGTAAGAAAATGAAAAATGCTTGGATTTATCCTTTGTCAGCAGAACAGCTATGGCCATTCTCCACAAACTACCTGTATCACACTGAGAGCAGCATCTATAACCAGGAAAATACATTATTCTAAAAATATATTTATTCTCTCAATACAGCCAGTCATACTGTCCATGTAAAATAAAACTGTGCTGTATTTAAACATGGTGTCTTTCATGGTTAAACTTAAACCTGACTGAACACAGACAGATCCAGAGCCAGCATCCTTTTTGCCAATTCAAATAAAACAAAGAGATCGCTTTTAAGCTTTGTTTTTGGACAGCATCTGTAAGAAGGTCTGTTTGAACCAAACTGCAAACTACCATACAGAAGGCAGAGAGAAAAAAAGCACAAAACCATGTTTTGTTTTAAGCTTATTTTCTATAATTATTGACCATAATTGCAAGTTGTTTTGGCAGTAATTGGACCTAAAGACGCATGGCATCATTAGTGTGTCAGCCCTCGCTGTTTCAGGCCTTTTTTCCTAGACAACCAATTTCTTAGAGGCTGGCATGTCGGAGATGGTACAAAATAAACTGCTGGAAGTAGTAGTACGAACCTAAACAAACTCTTGCAAACATGTATATGGTCAAAATCCTGTCTAACAAAAAAGCAGTATAAAAAATATAAAAAAGCAGGAGAACATAATCTTTTCTCACCAGAACTCTGTGGGAAGGTGCTGTTGCCATGAGGACTTGTGCCAACGCAGGACCACCTGCGTCTGCATCAACTTGCTCCAGCAACGTCAACTGGTCTGTGATGTTAGCCAGTTCCTCCTGCAGCCGTTCTGTTTCAGCCGTGATTTCCGCGATCTTCTCCGCAGCGGATGCTGTTAAGAACGCCTCTTTGAGGTCCACCAAGTGGAGGGTCCTCTTCTCTTCCAGAAGCACCAAGTTGCGGAGCTCATCGAACTGTTCAGTCACGTAGTCCTCAAGCTCTTCTACGGACATCTGAGAAAGGCCAATCAAAGTAATTGATTTTGGTGAACATTTTAGGGGAAATGAAAAATTCATTATGTTACTGAGATTAACTCATGTGACCTAACCAGTTTTTATCATATAATGACAGTAGGATCCTCGGATGACTTTAGCAAGACACAGCAGTTACTTTAATACTAGCACTTTTCATAGGTGCCGACACAGGTGTGTGCATCCAAAAAACACAGGCATCAATCTGTCATCTAAGCTGCTCAGACAGTGACTCACTCTTTTATAGTGTCTCTCGACACAGAGGCATCCAACAGAGATTTTTAGACTCAATCTCTAACATGAATCAGCCCTGCAGCTTAGACAATAAACAGTGGCGTGCCTTCAAATTTGTGCAGGCACCGAATACCAAACCGCATCTCTGATTGAATGCAACACTTGCTTACTTGTATAGTAGCTCTGCTTCATGTGGGACCGTGATATCGATCGGTGCCTACTTGGCACATAGTTGTTCATTCATATTCCAAGTACATCACCATGACTGCAGATTTATGTGTTAAGACTGAAAGTGTTACACTGGCTGTAAAGCAACCTTTTTATTATTATAATAGGATATTGAGGTTACTGTGAGAGTTATTTATAACATTAGTTAAGCAAAATAATAAAAATGTTTTTTAGGAGGGAACGATGGCTGGTGCTTTAATAAAACCTGGAAGGTAACAATATATTGCAACATTTTACACCCTGTATTTTGGATCTTTCTCTTAGGAGAGCAGAGGACGATGTTTCACAATGTGATGGCTCAAAAGTGGCAAATCTCTAGATTACCACAGTAGGATCTTTTCTTCTTTTTCTGTATTAGAAGCAATGGTAGAGCACCATTCTTTCCCAGCACCATGAACTACAGACAACATTACCATCTATTTTTGTCTTTAAAAAGAATAGATGCGAAAGGGGAGATATAAAGATCTTAAAGACCTCTTCCACCACAGCGAAACCATCTGTTTGGTTCTCAGGGCAGCAAAACACCTCAGTGAGATCCCATTTTAATTTCTCTGCCTATTTACCATTGAGGCCCTCTTTATGACTCATTAGGCCTACACACCTCAAAAACCCGACACCCCACACTGTCTTTCCCACTTAGATGGCACCACCTCAGACACAGATGCTCTAATGAGGTGAAACACTTCAAATGGTTGTGATCTTAACTCCAATATATGTGTAATAATTACTTTAATCAATGCACATCAGCTGCAGGCTCTTTCTTTTTCTCCTTGGCAGAGTTCATTTGCTCTCTTCTCAGACTCCCTTTTCAGGTGCAGCATTCAAAAATCATGAGTCTTCATAGGCAGAGGAAAGCTGTATGGCCATATTTTACTAAATAGTATTCGTTTATGTATAAACAATCAGAAACTTCATCCAGTACAAGTACTTTGTTTTATTCATACCAGCCGCAGCTTAACATGTTATGTTTTAATGCCCAGCGCTGTTAATTTCAAATTATTTAATGACACCTCATGAAGCTATATGTATATGTATATATTTCATTGTTTATGTTGTATAGGTTTAAACCACAGCCAATGCCAATATTAGGAAATCTAAATTTTGACATATATATATATATATATATTGCACTCAGAATGTGCGTCACATTTGACTATATATGACATGTCAGCTATGAACAAATTGCAATACTTAAAATTTTTGAAGACCAAAATCTGTTTAGTATCTAGGTGTCTAGTAGCTGCGCAAATGGCCTCAGTGGCAGATGTTTTCCGTCTATGTTTATTACCATTAGGCCCTCTGCCCTTAGATTCTTTCCTCACCAGCAGAGTTTTACTCAGAGCTTGTCTTTCAGGCAAGGAAGGGGCACTCATGCATGCTAATCTTTATTTGCATTGCTCCAAGCTAAAGCTACGAAATCCGACATTGTAAGAGGTAACAGCATTATAGAACATGAATTGCAAGTGGAAGGAGACAAAAAGAAGGAGGAGGAAAGGAAGAGCCACATTAAAATGCAGCATGTAAAATGCTAAAAAAAAAAAACAGAATGTGAACTGAATGTTTTTAATCTGAATTATTTTGAATGTAATTTGCATGCATCAATTAGGGTTGTTTAGTCGTGTATAAAACTTGAACATGATAATAAAAATCGAGAATTATAGAAAAAAAATGTAGGTCTCACAAGAAAGGACATCTAACTTTGATGCTTCTGAACAGGAAGCCATTTTAGTGAGATTTTCTTTTTTTGACCGACTTTTTCATGCCAAATCATTGGTCTTCCTGAACTTGACTGATTTCGGCGTAAAGCTTTAAAAGGGGCTAGAAAGCATTAACAGAAAATTGGGAGTAAATTAATTTTAAATGTCTTTGCCCTTGGCAATGATGGCCCTACTCCAAGAGAAGACTACTTACTCCCTTCTGCCTTTACTCCACTATTACACACAACCTGTTCTATGTATTTAAAAATGCTGCTCACTCATTGCTAGTGCAATAAAACACAATGGCACCAACTGATAATGACTATTAAGACATAAGACACATTGTTTTTTGTTTTGTTTTTTTTACAAATTACATTAAAGTTAATGAAATAAGAAGAATATGACAGAGGGCCCTGGGCTGTCTAATAGAGTTTAAATATGAAGCATTTATCTAGGTTTTGAGTACGAGTACTGCAATGTCAGCCAAGCAACTTTCTGGGAAATGACACAAAGTAATTCCATTATGCAATTATTCTTACAAGTAAGGTGGGCACTAAGAGAAAAAAAAACAAAGGGGAAAAACGAGGTGGAGGACAAGAGAAAGTCAGATGAATAAAACCACCAGCAGAAGCCATGTCTTTTTTTTTAATCTCTCGTCTGCCTGTTCATCTGCCTTGTCTCACTCGGGCAGGTTTTATTTGTCTGCTGCTCTTGTAGATTTTATTATGCAAGGAGAACGGATGTAGCCACTGCACACGTGCAGAGTTGTGAGTTGGCTGATTTAGCATGCCGTTCCGCCAGTTATCAGACTATTCTCTCAACAGATGTCTAGGGCACCTTAGGGTTTCCCCGCAGGTCAGATCTCCTTCTCATGGATGTTTCTAGACAACAGCAAGATATATACGCGACCGTCACTCTCGGACTTACATGGTAATACGACAAGCATATTTGGTTAAACCTTGTCCAGACATGGCCTTCTGTTTGAAGGTGAGATCAAGTTGCCAGGTTTACATGGGGATACCTGGTCAGTGGTTATATGATAAGGTGAAGTATAAACTGACTTTGCTAACAGCCACGGAGCCAGTGAAGTGTCTAGAATAATGCAGATGTTTTAATAGGATTGGATGCACATGAGAAGCCAAGAAACAGTGTTTTAAATCAACTGGAACTCATTAAGAAATTTGTTCTTTGAGCAGCATTTGATTCTACTGATTCATCTGATTCTGGAAATGCAAATAAGGGTTTTTGTTGTAGACAAGAATACTTACAGATGTATTTGGGCAGAACATTAAGTCGGAAGAATGCAGAACAAGCAATAGAGTCGACATGGTGAGATTGCTGTCAAAAGTATTATCAAGATTCAAATGTGCTGAGGGTGTTGCCGATATATTGGGTTAGGGATTTGGTACAAATTATAGGTTAATATTACATTTATTACAGCTCAGTGACAGGAAATTTGAGCGTGAGCAATCATTTATTGTATTGAGGAAGTGGCTAGGATACAGGGAAGTGAGAGTGATTGGAAATGTAGATATGAATAGCATCTGTGTATAAATAAAATTGGGGATGGTGACAGTAAATAAAAAAAACAAGAGGTGGTTGAAAATGTAATAAAAGGAAAGTACAGGATTTCTATTGTATTTTCAGAAATCTTGCTAAACCTATCTTAGATACTGTAGGTCCCACCTGTGACTGTGTTGTCGATGGGACTATGAATAAATAAAAGGGAGTATGAGGACAATGTGGGCCCTAATGACGAGTAACACCTGGGTGGTTGAATGACACTATCATTTAGATCCATGCTGTTATGTTACGCCTCTGGCCTTCTATTAATATGTATGAAAACTCATCACTGTTTTTACATTATATTCCATTCCCCCGTGAAGGCCTGAGTTATGAGCTTTATAGATACTAGATTAAACCCTCCCTACCCCCGGCAAAGTACATAATTAAATGGGCTAGATTTAATGAGCAAACAGGCACCAAGGGTTAAAACTCTCAGTTTCACACACACATCTGCTCACAACTTTCTTTGGACTCTGCCATGCTTATGCACAAATGTCCTTACCAGGAGCACTCACTCTGATGGTTGTCCGTCATGCATAACAAGAAACGCTGACATTTCAGAGTACAGAGAGGACACACCGACAAATCCTCATAATGTTCTTTAACACCTTGCCCTGCGCCTGAGCAGGTAAGTGGTTTTCATCAAATAGACTGCACCTCCACAATGAAGCTTCCAAAGACCATATGTACAGGAAGTCCTTGGGGCAGCATTGATATTTCACAATGATAATAGATATTATATCCAATCAAATTAACCTTCTGCATTATCCTGCTGTGCTAGTGTCACCTCCCTGTAGACACTGAGTAATGCTCCTTAGTGCAACTGTTCTCCCATGGTGGTTTTATACAGTTTTGCAGCAGGAGCAGAGCAGAAGGCGGAACAGGAGTCGAGCTCCTGCCAACTGTTATATGTCCTCGAACCTGCTGCTCTCCAGCCGACCTTATACTGCACAAAACATAACACTTTGGATTTGATTTTTCCAACGCAAAATAAGGTCACCACTACAGTATCAGTCATGGAAACACTGGCATTGTTTTCAAGGTGTACTTGGTTTTAAAAATTTGTTTTGACAATGCGAGGAATGAATTCAGGCACCTTTGCTTTAGCAATGTAACCGAGACAAGGTTGAGAAATACATAATACATCCCGTAGCACTTCACCTAATAACAGACACTTTCTTCTTTCACTGACCAACCTCAGGATGTTTATATGAACTGATGACTTCTGAAGGTAATACAAGTGCTGCATGCAGTTGTATTTTTTTTAAACTGTGTCTTTCCTATAACTTTATATTACATTAGGTTAAGTAGACAAACACATTCAAAATATTTTGCAATTTAGCATCGTGCTAAACACACCATATCTTCTTATTGATTATAACTGCAGGCCATTTAGTTTACATACTTTCAAAGTCGGTAGACAATTCCCACACCAGTCACAATCAAAATGTGACCTCTGAATGAGGAAAAAAAAAAGCCACAGAGACTAAAGCCTGAAAGTAACATGGTTTAGTGATCATGCAATGCTGCCATCACTCATACACTTGAGGCAGAATTATATCTGCCGAAACCCGGTTACTATCTGTTATCTGTGAAAGAGGAGGCATGACAAATATATGGATTGAAATATTTAGCTCTTATGTTTCCAGCCCAGTGCCTTTATGACATAATCTCCTTCTAATCCATTTTTATCTCATTTGAGACCGCTCTGCCTCTGCAGTTTACATTGATGCAGTGCTCACTACCGTACCCACTAAATTTGAAATGACTTTTTCACTCTGCTAAAGCTGTGGTCTTCTTAACACATCACTAGAAATATATTAAGGAGAGAAATAATCATATTTTCTAAACATTACTTTAATCAAATAAAAAGAGTTATGCGCATAGAAAAATGACAACTTATGGTGCAGTGTTATTAACATTTTTAACAATCTACTTTAAAGATGAAGATAATAATTGAAATATACATTTTGATTTTTACAACCAAATAGAATAATGTAGTGTCATTTGTATATCACCCAATGTCTAAAACTTATTTCTAACTGGCAACAGTAGGACGTCAAGCTCATCCAGTTCTATATCCAGGAGTGTGCCCTTACCTCAGGGTTTGTCCACTTGGTCTTAATGTTCTCAGCCATGTGTTGTGTACAGCCAAGCAGATCGTAACCTTCCTGGTTCTATACACACACAGACAGACAAGGAAAGAAATAACACATTTATGATGGTTGTATAACTCTCATAGTATTTCAATGTCCAAAGAAAAGACAGGAAAAAAAGAATGCAAGGAAAACAGCTGTGTCCTTCATGAATGACGCCTGACATGAAATGTAGTGTATTTTAAAATCCTGACAGTATTTTCAGACTTTTTTTGTTGTAAATTAATACAATACAGCACAGCACAGTGAAAGGGATAATAGGTAAAATAGGTTTCTGGTAAATAATGTGCCATTGGGCCTTGTGTGAGCGGGAGAAAGCGCTCTCTTTCACATTTATCAATCCATAAGAGGAAAAGAGGATTTAAGAGTGAACTAGAAAAATGTGCTGTTTTAAATGTAGATTAAGAAAAAAGCTGTCATCACGGTGGTAACATGCATCAGCCCATGTAACGACTTCAACAAGAGACTTGTGCTGATAATTATTTGTTGCAAACAAACAGAAAAAAAAGGAAATTATTTGCAAATGAAAACTTCCGATTTTTTATACAATCGTAGCCAAGTTAATTGCTCCTGCACGCAAAAACAGCGCCTGAATATTCTCAGTGAGCTGATAACATCTGACTTTAAGAGGCACTTTAATTGTCAAAAGCACAATGCAGAACTGAGCCCAGAGTGAAAATGTCGCTCACTGGACCAATTGCTATGTTGAATTGAACAACTGGTGACTCACTGGACCTTTTACGCCTGAAGCAACGAGACATCTGGGAAATGAGGAGTAATTTGTGCTGAGCCTAATGGACATTAGGGTTTATTCATAAAGTTTAATTTGCATTTCACAGCTTTTACGGAAATAGTATTCATGTGGCTGCGTAATTGAATCGATTTATGAAGAAGGTCATGTGGGTGAGCACCCCACTTCTTCATCCTGAAAAGATTAGACACATGGAGAGCCGCTGGGCCGATGCTAAAAACAACCTAGAGCCATTGGCAAAACACTTAATGGTGGATCAGAGATGCAAACCAGATGATGCTCTGAAGGGGTTTCATTAAACATCACAGTGCCGCAGATGTTTTTAAGTGCATGTCATGTTACAGTGATTAACTATCAATGTCAGGTATTTAAGGGATTTCAGACCATTTAAACATGTTTGGGTTAATCAACACATCATTCCACTGACATGGAAAACTAAGATCTATCAACCCTGAAAAGTCTTCAAATCTTCAATAAATTGCTTATTTATTGTTTTGTTCTAACTGATTAATAGTTTCAAATAGTTGTGTTGTAAAATTCTAATCTGATAAATCACACAGTAGCTATGGAATAATCACATTAAATCACTGGATCAGAAAGACAAACAACAGCAGTTTGATGTATGGGTTTTACACCCGTTATTATGTTTTAACTAATCCAAATTTAAAAAATATTAATAAGGAGAAATGTCAAGAACAAACATTTGGAAGCATAGACCTGGTGGATTTGACAATCACATTACCCTGAGTTCATCAGAGGATGGTCTGAATGAAGCCGGGCATCTGACCTGAGGTTGAAACCTCCATGAACACACATTGGAAGTTGAGATGGTATTTAAAGCTCCAGGTGCTTCATGAAACAAAAACCCTCAACATGTTTTGAGCATCTATTAAAGTTGGGTGTCACTGGAAAGATTGGATGAACTGCAATCTGTGCATTCTGACCAAGAGTCAAAAATGCACTGAAAATGTGTGCTGCAAGTGGTACAGCCACAGATTGCTTTTTTTTAGGATTTAAGGATTTCTTTGTTTACATTCATTTGTCAACACTTTTTTTTTTTAACCATTTTTATTTCCAAGTGCGTCAGCCATGACAAGAACTTGGTTTCTGACACAATCATTATTTAAAAGGTGGTCTGACCTCATTAATTCTTTGCCACTCACCTTCTGCCACATGTATGCCTCATGCAGGGTAATTATTTCATGGTCCTTGTGCTCGCCCTGCACAGCGCACACCACACAGATTATCTTCTCATCTGGTTTACAGTACAGGGAGCCTTCTTGACCATGCTCCTTGCAGCGCAGTCTCTCTACTGTCACAGTGTCTCTCTTCACAGCCTCTCCAGCAGCCATGGCCTCCTGCCCCACCTCAGCTTCTGCTTTTACAGCTCCATCCCCTTGCATGGCAGCCAGCGGCACTTCATTTTGAGCATCCCCCTTCTCCTCATCACTGTTGCGCTCATCCATTCCGAGTGATGCCACGTCCTGATGAATGGCCACCTCAGCTGCCATCTCTGAACCGGCCTCAACTACAGATTCACCTTTTCCTTTAAAATTACTGCAAACTCTCTCATCGTCTCTTTCCTCGTCAGCATTATAAAGCACTAGTGGATGGTGTGTCCTGCTGGCATGTTTCTCAGCGTGCACAGGGCAGAAGGCAAAGGTGCAGACATGGCACACATGTGTGGCCGGTTTGGCCTCATCAGGTTCACAAGCATCGCATAACCCATCGAGCTCTGGAAGTTCCTCTTTCATCTCTCGTACGGCTTCCTTCTGCCGTTCCTCTTTGGGGTCCATGGTGGCTGTTGATAATTCCAGGGATCACAGGAGTCTTAAGGGGAGACAAACAGAATAGAGGGCAGGATATTAATAGCAGTGACCTTTGCCAACAGCCCATATATTTGCACAGGGGAAAGTCCGCAATCTCTCAGACTAAATCCTGTAAATATCTCACCAGATGATAGAGATAACATACGGAGGGAAGACACACCCAAACACACTATTCTGTTATAAAGAACTCATCTGCAGTCACTGGACTGTCCTTGAATGCCAACACCCGCCATCGATTTACTGACACACACACACACACCCACACACACAGAATGTGCTGAGTGTGTACAGTTGTGTTTTCAACGTTACCACAACATTTCACATGCACAGACATGCTGTGCCTCCTGTCACCTCTCTCTATGTTGTCATCCGACTATGGCCTTATTATGGTCTACAATCTCCATTTGTCCAACTGTGAGAAGCACAGAATAACTAGATTTAAAGTGCAGATTTTGCTGGCACATTCTGTGCCAGGGATGTGCTGTTTTTTCTTTCTCTATCTTTTTATTGTCCTGTCATGCAGCTTTATTTATTTAATCTGCCACAGCGAGGTTGCATACCCCTTAATCACACACATGCACAGCCAGGCACGCAAACAAACATGTTGACACATCTTTTTTCTTGTTATAGCACTGCGTTAAACACCATTTATTCAGGTGGACAAACCAAACTCATGTCACCTGTTCCATCTTCCCCATATTTTCAAAGGAGGGAAAGAAAACATGGACAGGATGTTCTTGTTTGGCAGTACAGTAAACTTACTCTCCCTGTACAAAAATAGCTTGTTGGCTTGTTTGTCCAACCAGAATGGTGTAGAAACATTTTATACCATCTGTATTAAGTGCACATGCAAATGCAAATGTAAAATCATAAAATAATTTCACATGTTCTTTGCTGGTTTTGAAAGTAAATCTGTTC